TTTCCAGTGTTGTCCAGCATCTTCCTTGTGATAAAGCAACAGAGGTTGAAGATCTGTTGGAAGATATTCCCAAGGAAAATCCGTATGACGTCCCTCGAGCGGCCGTCATAACTGGGACAGAGAAATCAGGAAACAAGGTGCTACGGGATCTATTCACCACTGTCGAACTTGGGGACAGGTCGCTAGCACAACTGCTTCGCCACATACGCAGTCTCCTCTGCGGCCGTAAGCTAGCGGCGGAAATCCTGGCCCAACTATGCCTCGACAAACTCCCACCCTCCATGTCCCACGTCATCAGCGCTTTCGTTGATGACCACAGCTTGGAGCAGCTAGCCCAAATGGCGGATAAGATACACGAAACATATCCCAGTAGCTCCGTAAACTCCGTTCCCCCCCCCCTGCGCCCACTACAGATTCCGACCAGCTTTTCGCTTCTATATCGCACCTACAAGCCAAGTTTGATGCTTTGACCATTCGCCTACAACGGTTAGAGATCAACAGACATCGACCACGTTCACAATCCAGATCGTTACCTCGTGCCCGTCCCTCTTGGTGCTGGTATCGCAGATGCCCTATCCCGTCCTGACATCAACGCTCTTCACCCTTTCACGCAGCTGGACCTAGCCAAGCTGGCTAACCTGCAAAATAGTGATCCCAATTTTTTGCCCATTCTATCCTTCCCTTCATTTCAAGTCTCTTCAATTCCCTTACCCCTCCAATGCGGAACCATCTTTTGTGATACGTCTACAGGCTCAGCTCGCCCAATCGTCCCCGAAGCCTTTCGACGGGTTGTTTTCGACCATTTTCATGGATTTTTTCATCCAGGGATCAGAGCAACCAGGAAGTTGATTATCGCACGCTTTGTATGGCCCTTCATGAATAAGGACCTGACATCCTGGGCCAAACAGTGCATCGCCTGTCAACGCAGTAAAGTAACTCGGCATACAAACTCACCTATCGGTTCATTTGCCGTTCCTGATGCTAGATTCACACACGTCCATCTCGACATTGTTGGTCCACTTTCCCCATCAAACGGTTTCACGCATATTCTTACTACGATCGATGGTTTTACCCGCTGGCCAGTAGCTGTACCCATTTCGGATACTTCAGCTGAAACGGTTACCCTTTCATTTTTGCAGCACCGGGTGAGTAATTTTGGCATACCTTCCACCGTTACTACCGATCGCGGTGCACAATTTCAGTGTAATCTCTTCCGTGAGTTTCCTACACCATTCGGTTTCCATCACATATCGACTACCGCGTATCATCCCCGTTCCAACGGTCTGGTTGAGCGTTTCCATCGATACCTCAAAGCTGCACTGACTGCTCAAACGAACACATCTTCATGGTCCTCTTCTTTACCCCTCATTTTGTTACCTATTCGCTCCATTATTAAGGAGGATCTTCACTGTTCCCCAGCCGAGCTAGTGTACGGTACAACTTTACGTTTACCCGGTGAACTGGTTTCCCCTCCTGGCGCACAGCCCGAATCACCCGTCACATTCGTCACCCGTCTCAAACAGCATATGTCCGACCTTCGTGCGACGCCGACCAGACGATCAACGCGAACAGAACACATCTCAACCGAACTCTCTTCTACACCATTTGTATTTGTCCCACAACGCAAGGAGGAAACCCCTGCAACCTTGTTATGATGGCCCCTTCAAGGTCATCGAACGTCACTCCAAACAATGTGTTTTAGAGAAAGGCGGAAAGCATGATACCGTCTCCATTGATCGTCTGAAACCTGCCTACACTGAAGCACCCACGACCACATCCAGCCATCCCGCTATCTCAACAACACCCACACCTACCCAAGATATCCCTGCCTCCAACCTCACTCCTTCGACTAGTCGTTCCGGACGTCGCGTCTGTTTTCCTCAGCACTTAGCTGATTAAGAAACATGAAGTGAGCAACTTGTGATTCGTTACACTTGGTAAACTAACTTATTGGGTAGCTAGACCTCTACTCTAGATATCGGTGTGTTGAGGGGGGAAACGACATACCTCTTTCGTGCTGCTCCATTCTCTCTCTGGCTTCTTTCAGCTGCTCCTTGAAAGAGTCATTCTCAGCTTTCAGAATGTCGATCATTTTTCTAAAAGATGGATTTTTACGAAAAGTGACATACGAAGCAGAACGAATTAAATCAGATTTTTCAATCAATGCCTCCTTCAGTGACAAGTTTTCCGCTTCCGCTGCAAAAAGCCTCTGAGAAGAATGTTGCATTAAGCCTAACACCAACCGATGACTCTGCATCTTGTGGGTCAATTAGGCGCTTTTTGGCCTTTTGGTAGTCATATAATACCAAGCGCAGACGGAAGTTCTCACGTCGAAGCTCCGCCATTGTCTGTAGCTAGTTAGCATGTTAGTTATACCTACCTCTTCTGTGCTTTTGAATGCACTCTTCGCACCAGCGCCTGCAAAAAGTTATGAACAAATGTGCTCAAGGGACTTACTGAAAGGACTGCCATCGTTTACTGCATTGAGTTCAGTTGTGTCTGTATCCTCCATTCTATGGCATGTGTCAAATTTAAAAAGCGTAATTACGTTCTTCCCGTGCTCCAAGGGGTCCGAACATCCATGTTACGAAATACGTATCCCGCGCCTCGGCCAGAAATAACCTAAAACCACCGAAAAACTGGATTCACTGCATTAGTTCAGTTCGACACTAAACAAAAAACGGTGTTCAATTATCCGCTGATAAAAAGCATTGTAAAGTCGGTTCGTAACTTCCACTGCAGTGACGTGATGTGTATTGCCAAACTGCACAAGGTCCGAACCACTAAAAGTATCCTCCCACTGATCGTCAATGACCCCAGCTTGAGGAAATCCATTCGACACTATCGAACTATCGCCACTTATTTTCTTTACGATAGACAAAGGTACAGTGGCTCTCAGATCACAAGCCATAATATTGCTTGTGACTACAGCATAGAAACATGCAGAGAAATCCATCAATGGATCAACCACGCACGTTGACCTCGACGGCAGACAATCCTACGAAAGCCTCTCAAAGACAGGCATCTGAGAAACTATTGCTCGAGGAGCCAGTGTGTCATTTTGCACCTTTATTTTGCTTCCGTTATACCGTTACGTATTCCGTCAGTTGCATAATCGTTTTTGTTTGAATACGAAAAACAACTTGTACAATTTCCAATAATACAACGTGGTCACGTGCTTCGACTCTCTTCTGAGTTCGCTCGCTCTTGCAGTGGTCATTCGCGGGTCTCATGTGCTGACTCTGATATCAAAACATTTCAGACTATCTTCGAAATCAATTGTATGTGGGAACTGTTCAGAAGAAGACCTCTGTACCAACATGATTGGATTATTGTTTATTCGCTTACCTGGGCCAACGACGAAGTATTTTAAAGAAAACAATTGTTAGTGGGTCTGTTCCATTTGACCACTTTACCATTGTATACCCAATAATGGGTTGTTAATATTTTTCATGTGCCACGCTCCTGGTAATCTTACTTGCTGGCTTGCCAGACCACTTCACAACCAACTTTGAACTTTTCCCTGGGCAAGCAAAGGCCAGAGCTGCGGAGGGGATCTGTGTTGGGTACAGGTCTCAGGAATGTTGATATGAACGATTAATTTGTTCGGACGAGATGGAGCTTGTATACCGGATAGGAGCGTGGGGAGTATGGTAATTGAGCCAGTAAATGGTGAACGAGGCACGCATGAACACCGGCGGATTAATGTCAGGTTAGCACGACAGTTATAAATCCAAACAGCGTCTGGCACATATGTCAATAATGGATCGCCAGCAGGTGACACACATTTCTGGATTGTATGAGGTGACCACCAACGCGGCGCTGCGAACAATCAAACGCGAGTATCCAAGGCGGAAGATAAAGGCATCAGGCGTCCTAGGAAAAACCCAAGCATATAACGGGTGAGAAATGATAAAACATTTTGTCTAAAGAATGTTTGCGCTCTGAACTTGAGAATTTTCTTACTATGACTCCGCCGTGTAATTGCTGGGTCAACGGTTGGAAACCTCTTTGCCAAGCTTTATTCAAACAGTTCTCGGATGCGATGGTACTCCAGGTGAAAGAGATCAAGCACCGCGAGACGCGTCTCGTAGTCCACGGAGTTGAAGCGGGCAACAATTCTCGCGGTGGCTCGCTGGACACGCTCAGTGAGGGTGACGGCTTTCGTGCGTTGGAGGAGAGTAGGTCGAGCCTATTTTCTCTCGGAATGATCTGTCTGATTGGAACGCCCTGATCCAGCGAAGGATTTTTCCTTGAATCCTGTAAGACTCGAGCTTGTGGAGCAGCGGGACATGTGGGACCCTACCAAATGCTTTTGAGAAGTCCGAAAATACGGCATCAGATATGAGTCCTTCGTCCTTGGCTTGGGCTAATCTGTCAATAAACACGAGCATGTTTGACATGCAACAGCGGTGCGAGGGAAAGCTGTGTTGAGCTGGAGATATCATGTTGCCGGAAGTAAGGCGATCTAGGGCAGCTCACTTCAGAATGCATTCCATCATCTTACTTGGCACGCCTGTGAGGCTTATAGGCCTGTAGCTGCCAGGCTGTAGTCTGTCACTGGATTTGTAGATTGGCGTGACAATCGCTTCCTTCCAAGCAGCGGGGAGGCGGCCTTTGTCAAGTGACTGACGAAACACCATGCGTAAATGGTCTGCCAGTGTGGAGGACATTTCATTCAGGGTCCTTGGACGGGCCTCGTCGGGCCCCAACGCTCAGAATGGATTGAACTTGTGCAAGGGCTGACGAATGTCCTCCACCGTGAAGACCAAGCCGGTTAGAGGCTGTTCGTAGTTCCGCCTTGACAACAGTGGGTGTGAAGAGTACGCTGGGTCTGGGTATAGATACGCAGAGTGTTCGCTGCAAACCCCAGACACAACTGTTGGGTCACTCGTCGGTTCTCCGTTCCTGTCCCTCAAGGAGAACGCGGATGGCTTGTTCCTGCGGCGATGTCTCATGTATTTGAACAGTACGTTTATTTCGAACGAGGTCCTGGGTAGTGGCTTGTTTTCGTGTGTTCCATTGGCGTATTTACATCGGTTCCGCATTTTACGAAATGCCAGCTCATCTTCCGTATCCGCTGTAGTCAACTTTTTGAAAAAGAGTTGGGACCTTTTCTTCCAGAAGTCGCCGAATCCTTTTCGGCGGCCTGCGATTCGATTCATCCAGTGCGTGCTGGTTTTTTGGCGATGGTCGCAAGACGTTCCGGATAAGTGGCACTAAGCGTCAAATCGTCCACATAAAATGCCCGTTCGGCTGCTAATGACTTGGCGTGGATCGACATACTAGCATGGCTCTTGATGATATTCCTCAGGGCGAAACTTGAGCAGAAGGGAGACGAAGTTGCGCCAGGGGTACGTACAGTCATATAGTACGTCTTCGGGGGCTCTTCAGTATGGCCGTGCTTCCACCATAAGAATCGTAACACCTCCTGACTGATTCGGGTATCTTCACTTGACGAAACATTGACGCAATGCCTGTCGTAAACACCTGTCTATGCTGGCGGAAACTGAGAGAGATTAGGAGTGGACTATTCGCGATGGCTGGATCATTGAGCAGCTGCGACTTCAGTGAGTTCATTTGGACTTGACATGCAGGATCGGGGACATCTCTCACCTCACTAGGCTCGTGAGAGTGGACCACCATATGACGTGGCAAGAACCGAACTCGTCCAGTGCGTTCAGTCTTGGGATGTTGACTGACAGTTTCGGTATATACTTTGACCAGGTATTCAATAATGGCTTTCATATCGAGATCGTGATATCCGTCCCTGGTGAATCTCTTACCAAGGGGGTTGCGTCTTTGGCGAGCAACGAGATAATTTGACGGTAACCTCAGACAACCCGCCTTCAGGGCAGAGCAATTTCATGACGTCTATCCGTCGGTCTCAGCGAAGACTCTACAACAGATACTCCCTGTTCATCAGTCGGTGACGATGAGCACTCGTGTGATGGTGGGTTTCTGAGCTCGAGGTCAGTCGTAGCTTCTAATTTTGAATCCAGACAGTCTTCCACATGGCAGCTGAGCTGGTTGATTCGAGCCAACCTGTACTTCGTATCATTTACCGGCCCAAAAAAGGCCTAACCGAGTGGTGTTCGATTGGCACAAGGCTCGTGTGGCCTGTCCGTTCGGCTTTCCAGCACCCAATGTGCCATCGGTACGTCCATCCCGATCAATAGGGATATTGTTTGGCTTCCGGCATTCTCGAATGGGATTCCTTTCAAGTGATCCCATTTAGACCACTGCTCTCTCGTTGATAAGGTTTGAGTAATCGACGAAGCTGTCGAACGGTTCATGCCTTGTTAGACTGAGGCGTCTTTGCCGGCGGCGATGTATCTATATCAAAACTGATCCGAGTGGTCGACACTTGATTCTGACCGTTGAAAGTGGCAACGCTTATGTTTGTGGGCAATCACGATAGCCCGAGATTTAAAGTGACATCCTCTTTTAGCATTGTACAGTCTGAGCCGCTGCCAAGAAGTGCATTGACTCTACAAACTCCACGGGGACTGCGAAGAGTTACAGGTAGTACGCCGAGCGTCACGGTTGTCCGATTACACGATCCACCGGCACGGTTCACGCTGAGGCCTGGACGGCATTCTTCCTGGCATGTTGACCCCACTGACTTAGCTGAAGCCTGAGTGGGCGGATGGAGTAATGGGTGGTGTAGACCTTCGCAGCCAATAAGTCCGCAGCAACGCCTTGAGCGGCACTGTTTCGCGTTATATCTTGGCTCGAGGCAAAGCTCGCAAAGTGCAGCTGAGCGGATGAACGTTGCACGGAAATCAGCGTCCAAGCGATTGAATTGCGAGCATTGATCGAGGTAGTGCATTTTGCCACAGTGCACGCACGGACGGGACATCGTCGGGCTATGTTCTCCATTTCCAGGCTTATTAGCCGCGGACGTCGTCGCAAGTGTGGATAGCCTTGGCGATGGTGCCGTCACAAAGCTACGGGGGCGTTCTGACTTGCTGGTGCTCGGCTGGGAAACATTCGGCAGATAAGACTCTCTAACTGATAATGCATCTGCTCTGTCTAGAACATAATCGGTCAGATCGACGAAACTGGGCTCTCGGTTCTTCCTAAGGATTTCCGAGGCCCGGTCGAACCACTGTGACTGGATAGCAGTCGGAAGGCGGCTAATAATAGCGCCTATGGTTGTTCTAGTATTAAGCTCTGATGAGTAGTTCAGTTGGGATAGTACCAACCAACAAGCCTTCATTGTGTCGGCCAGCTTGAGTAGTGAGCTGGCGTCGTTCGGTCTGATGGGCGGCCCGGTTGTGACTGACGCAATTTACTGTCTTGCGATCGTCGAGGGGTTGCCGAACCTGCGAGCCAATATCTTCCAGGCTTCTGCGTAGCCGTGTTCCGGCTCATGTATCGTACAGTGATCGATTGCTTTTCGTGCTTCACCTTCACATGCATCGATAAAGAAGGCTAGGCGATTTGCGGGATCCGTAACGTATCGGGCGACTCCACTGGTGAAACTCCTCAGAAACTTCCAGTAATTAA